GGGGGGACGACACAGACACCCTTCCCCAGAGCCCTCCGGCTGCTCCGGTTCCTCCCCGCGCCGATCCCGCCTCACCTTGACCAGTTTGTCCCAGCCGCAGGAGACGATGATGGGGTTGCTGCTGTTGGGGGAGAAGCGCACGCAGGACACCCACTCCGAGTGACTCTCGTCCTGGGGAAGAGGAACGACGCCGGATTCGCGGTGAGGAAAAGCGGCCGGGTCTTGCCCGCCCCGGCCGCGGGGCGCTGCAAGATCAGACCTGCCGCATCCCGTCGCTCCGCAGCTTTCCCAGGCCTCCCCCTCCGTCACCGCAGGACTTGGCCTCCAAAATCCACCCCCCCCTCCCCCCGGGAGACCTGGAATCCCGACCACAAGCAACGGGAACGGAGCCGAAACCAAATCCACGGAGGTTTTGGGGCGGGGGGTGGGGTATTTCTCCCCTCCCGGCGGAGGTGCGATCGGGAAGCCCGACCTTCCCCGCTCACCTGCACCGTGTACTTGCAGACGCCCAGGGTGTTCCAGAGCTTGATGGTTTTATCCCTGGATCCCGAAACGATTTGCCGGTTGTCGGAGGAAAAAGCCACGCTCAGGACGTCCTTGGTGTGGCCCACGAAGCGACGGGTGGTGGTGCCGCTGCGGGAGGAGGGAAGCAAGGGGAGATCTCAGACAAATTCCAAGGAGAAGAGCGGAAAAGCGACCCCCAAACTCGAAATATTTGGAGGAAAAAAAAAAAGAAACACGGAGCTGTCTATGGCAGGGCAGGGAGCGCTGGCTCCCGTTCTCCTCCCGAAGAACTTCAGAGAAGGGCTGGGGGGATGGGGATGAGCCTGGCCCGCGCGCACGCCTGGCTCCGCAAATCTCAGCCCTCCTGGTTGGACCAATTCAGCCCCGAATGAGCCCAAAAAGCAAAGCCTGAGCCGCTGGGATGTTTTCTCTCCCATCATAATTGCAGGACGTGTCGTCAGATCCCGGAGGATCGGCACGTTTTGTGTCAGGTTTAATCATCGGGAGAGGGAGGCGAGGGAGAGCAGCCCCACGCCCCAATTCCCGCCCCTCCCCCAACGGTG